AACGGCAGGAGGCGCTGGTGGTGCAGTTGCAGTCGTCGTCGTCGTCGTTGTTGTTGTTGTTGTTGTTGGAGTGGCGGTGACCATTGAAGACTGAGGCGTCGTACGAGTCGTCGTCGTTGATGGAGGCGATGTGGCGTCAAATGGTAAGTCGTATGCGTCAAATGATAAGTCGAAGGCGCTCATCAGCTCTTGCGTAGCTTCCGTCGATACGCGTGGGCGGAGCTGGTTAGCGTGGCGTCTCCAGATGAATCCATTGACTTGAACGTCGTACAGAGTGCGTCCACGTCGGCATAGGATCCGTCCTTGTGTCCATCTGGGTTGTCCGGATCGATAGTCACGAGCGTAGACCATATCATCAGATTGGAACGTCCTGGGTTTGGCTCCATACTGACGGTTGAACTGCTCCTCCATTTTCGTGTCCACAAGAAGTTTTTTCTTGTTGTCCGGTCTAAGTAGATCCAGTGTGTTGCGAAGGCGTCTTCCGAGGAAGTTTTCTGCGGGACTCCTTCCATTGGGCGAAGCGGTGCAAGGCGTATTTCGGTATGTGAAGAGAAACGTCTGGACGAGCGTGTCGTCGGTCGGTCCGTGCTTCTTCAGCTTCCTGAGCGTGCGCTTAAATGTGTCCACGAAGCGCTCAGCTTGACCATTGGACTGGGGGTGGAAGGGCGGCGACCGGATGTGCTCAATTCCTTTCTTGATGCAAAAATCCTGGAACTCACTGGAGGTAAACTGAGTTCCATTATCCGAGACGATGATGCGAGGAAATCCGAATTGCGCGAACAGGCGATGGAGTTCCTTGAGTGTGGCAGTACTGGTTGTGCGAACTCAGTAGAGAAGACTTCGGGCCATTGCAGATGGAAGTCGACGATCACCAGGTACGATTTTCCATCGATTGGGCCGGCGAAGTCGACGTGGATCCGGCTCCACGGCGCATCTGGACGGATCCAAGAACAGAGCGTGTTCTTGACTGGCGACTTGGCGGCTTCTTGGCAATCGTTGCATGCACGGACGAGTTCTCCATAATCCTCGTTGATCCTTGTCCAGAAGACATACTGACGAGCGAGGGCTTTCATTCGGTTGATTCCTGGATGTCCCTCGTGTAGCATTTTCAGAACAGACGGCTGGAGTGATGGCGGGATGACGATGCGGCTTCCAAAGAGCAGGCATCCTTGCTGTGTCGAGAGTTCGTTGCGTAGGTGGGCGTATCCAGCAACGGTGGGCGATGGTTTCTTCGGCCAGCTGTTGTGGGCGACATGGTCCATCACTTGACGGAGACAGTCGTCTTCGGATGTTGCGTGGGCAACCTCTTTGGCAGTAACCGGTAGGCGGTTCACAGCCTCGACGAAGATAGCGTTAACGTCCTTGGCGATAGTGGCAATGATGACGTCTTCTTCCGGAGGCGATTGCATGGCGATGAGACGAGACAGTGCGTCGGCTTGTCCGAAGCTTGCGGTGTTTCGGTACTCGATGGTGTTCGAAAATCGTCAAGAAGGCCGAAAGCATATGTAAAAGGTCCCTCCATCGTTGCAGTCGGTTCGCGGAGTAAGGCCGGAACTCCTTTCTTTGATCCGAATATCGCCAGAAGTGGCTTGTGGTCCGTTAGCAAGGTGAAGCGGCGCCCGTAGATATAGCGATGGAATTTCCGGACAGCGTAAACAAGCGCCAGACCTTCTTTTTCCACTTGGCCATAGTTCTTCTCCGCCGTGGTGAGAGAGCGGCTGGCATGGTAGACAGCTTTCTCAGTTCCGTCTTGATAGCGATGAGAAATAACTGCTCCAATCCCATAGTCTGAAGCGTCGGCCGCGACGATGATGGGCAACTTGGGGTCGTAGTGAGCTAGGAGCAGGTCCGAAGCGAGCACTTCCTTGGCGCGTTCGAAAGCGGCTTCGCATTCGGAGTTCCAGTTAACGAGCTTCCTTCTGAGGTATGTGTCGTCGAGCGGTGCACGGAGCTGGCGCATCTCTGGCAACGAATGCTCCGTAGTGGTTGATGAGTCCGAGGAATGACCGGACCTGGGCGGTATCCTTCGGTGTTGGCATCTTGGAGATAGCGTCGATCTTCTTTGGATCGGGTCGGCGTCCGGCAGCAGTGATGACGTTTCCAAGATAGGTGAGCTGCGTCATCACGAAATGGCACTTGTCGATGCGGACGCGAAAGCCGTAGTCGGATATCCTTGAAAATAGGGCTTCCAGGTTGGCGTTGTGCTCGGAGAGAGTGCGGCCGGTGACGATGACGTCGTCGAGGTAGGCAGCAACGCCGTTGAGTCCAGCGATCATTGGAGTCGATTGATGCTGCTGGAAGATGCAGGAATTGCATGACTGAACTTCCGAACGGTAGACCGATATGTATCTGATAAGAAGTCTCTTGTGGTGTGTTGATGGTGAGGAGCTCTCTGGAGTCGTCATCGACTTCGACCTGTAGATAAGCGTCGGCGAAGTCGATTTGTGAAAAGACGGTTCCGCCATTGAGCTTTGTGAAAACATCCTCCGCGGTGGGTAGTGGATGCCTATGCAACAGCAATGCGTCGTTGAGTCCCGTCGAGAAATCGGCGCAAAGTCGAATGGTGCCATTGGCCTTTCTCACAACGACGATTGGCGCAGCCCATCGAGAGTGATCGACAGCGGAGATGACGTTCTGTGCACATCGAGGACGCGTCGATCTCGGCGTCGACGAGCGGTATGGAGGCGTAGGGAACCGGTCTCTTCTTGATGAAGACTGGGCGAGCATCGGGCTTGAGGTAGAGTGTCGCCTTGGTCTTGGTGCAGTGTCCAAGTCCGGGCTCGAAGACATCCATGAATTGGTGCTTCAGCTTGACGATCGTTTGGTCTCGGAGGGCCTCGTTGTTCAGTGTTTGAACCTTCTGCACGTTGAATCTCCTCAAAACGTGGTCGAAGTCTGGAATCTGCTCGATCCACGTGATGCCGAGAAGGTCGTTGTCGTCGGAGACATAGCAGGTGCCATGTCCGGGATGAGCCCTTCCCTCGATTGTCCATGACCACGAAAGCGGCTTCAAAGCTTCCGTGAATTGGTAGTGGGGATCCATTGGCTCCTTTAAAGACGTCAGAGGTCTTCTGTAGATGAGGGCTTCCGAGCTGCATCCAGGTTGGACGAGAAATGATGGTGACGTCGGCGCCGGTGTCCAACTGGAGGCGGGTGGGATGTCTGTCCATTGATGTGAACTTCCAGGTACTTTTGGACATCTCCTGGATGCCGATGACGGCGTAGGTGCCCAGGAGCGTGGGTGATGACTTGATCTGGTTCGACGTCGTTGAGTGCAGTCTTTGACTCCTGGGTGGCCCTGGTAGCGTGAGGATTTTCTGGACAGTCTTTCTTCCAATGTTGCTGCTGGCAGATTGGACACGGTGACGGTGGCAGAATGGGCTTGGTTGGGCGGGGGGTTGGGAAGGGACGGGGGCTGGGCGGGGTGGACGGTACTTTCTCCTCCTCTGGACGGCATGGACTTCTTGTGAGTTGACAGTTTCGACGATTCTGGAGTCATCCTTGACCGATTTCCAGGCATGGTATTCCTTGGCCAAATCGTCGATAGTGGTCTTGTCGTCTTCGTCCAGCTTGCGCAGGAAGCGGACGCGGTAGTCGGCGAGTTCTGGGGCTTGGAAGGCGAAAACCATAGCCAGGCATTCCAGTGTCTTCTTTGCCGTGATATCCTTGAAATTTGCTTCCATGGCGCGAGCCTTCAGCGAGTTGACGAAGGTGTCGATGTCTTCATTCGGCGAGAAATTCATTCGGAAGCATTCGAAGCGGCGGCGGAAGAGGCTTTTCTTGTTTCCGAACAGCGTCTTGAAAGCGTCGAGCGTTTCCGTCCAGTTCAGATCTCCAGGCTCCTTGGGAAGGATGTGGCGGACGAATCGTGCGTGGCTTGCAGCGGGGGGGGGGGGGGGGAGGGGGGGCGCGGCGTCAAGAGCAGTGACCAGAAGACGCGTCTTAATCTTCTCGTCCATTCCTTGGCAGTCGATTTCGAATACGTCCTTGTGCCGGCTGAACCACATGTTGAAGCAGTCGTCTTGATCGGCATCGTACGCGAACTTGTCGATCCTCCTTGCCATACGGTCGAAGGTAGACTCCTGCGGCGTGGTTGTGGGCGTGGCTATCTTCTGGAGCAGGTCCATGAGGAGTTTCTGCTGAGCGGCCATCATCTGCACGAGATCCTTGAGTGGAGCGTCCTCTGGCATCGTTGCGGCGGCGGTGTGGTCCTCGAAGTCGTAGTCCTGATCGCCAGTTGTTGTGTCCTCGAGAATACAGTAGCAGCAGAATATTTATTGGAAGACAGTAGAATGACATCTAACAAAATAACCCGTTTATATACTGTTCTGCCTGGTCAAATTCCGTAGTCAAACCAGGCAGATCTGTAACAATGCCAGATCAAATACCTACATGTAATAGATCACGGTGTCCCCAAACAGTGGCCATCCATCTATTATATTGACGCTGGCGACTGCGCAAATCATGTGAACCACATAAACATAGGGAGAATCACGGCCTTATCTGATTTCTTTTGTATCTGTTTATTTCCTGAAGTTGCGTTTATGGAACCGCCAAACAATTGTGTGTTACTATCAAGAAAAACATCATTAGATTTTCAATTGATGAAACCTGCTAAATGTAAGCTATCGGCTAGCAAATGCACGTAGTGAGCTGCTGAGTCATTCGCCGCGTGCCGCGGGCGCTGCCCCGGACGATTCTGTTGCACGTCTCCCCAGATGCAGTGCGTGGTCACGCCCTCTTCTTGTCCGGGATATAGAGTGTGTGCGGTCTCACTGAGATGATTTTTCAAGGTGATCATTTCACAGACCCAAGAAAAAACAGAGCCAAGACGATAGAAGCTTTATAATGCCAATACTAGTAAAGCTCCATAGATTCTTTGAGATCTTGTACTGCTTTCGTTGCAATTATTTGTGTTTTTTCGACAAAATTCGAAAGGCACAAAACATCGAGCAAAATCATTAGTAGGTGAGCTGATAAGACGACAGTAGTACTTCTCATCAGTACTCTTTGATGACATTCACTTTCTTCACGTTGTACGTTTGAGCGAGTTCGTCCTGAAACGACATGGCAGCATATTTCTTCAATAGCTATAGCTCGGTTAGGCTAAAAAGGAAGAGTTAAACCTGGTAACTGCCATCAACTCACAGCATTTTTAATCTGATTTGGATGATAAGGGACTCCGCCAAGTTCGTTGACAAGTTTTTCATGCATTTTCTCCTTGTCACCAGGCATCAGCACTTTTAGTGATGGATCAACCTGCAATTATTTGTCACGCATTTCGCGATTATCGGATGGGTAGAGACAGAAGGGAGACGGGCAAGAGGATCGTAATTTGCCGCTCGATGGGCGCGGCGTTTTCTCAACTCGTGTTAACCTGTCGATTGGAGCACCGGACTTCATGTAGACCCCGTCATCGTAGACATTCATGACTATTTTCGGTTCTGAATTGCCTGTTGTCGCCATCTACTACCTGGAACCATCGTCATTTGCGGGCGCGACGTCGCACGCGACGCCCACCAGCGCGGTGAATTACGATTCTCTTGTCACATACCCGAGACAGAGAACTAGTTTGACTTCCGCATTGTGTGCGGGGCGCTAATGAG